TTTAAGAAGGAGAAAATCCTAACTTTATACAGTCTGTTTATTTTGGAAACAGTCACACTTGTCTACAAAAATCGACACAGACTTATGTTCCCTAATGCTATCTATTCGACCTGAAATGCGTCCAACTTAACGTTACCCATACCCCACTCCACACTGGTAAAAAAATCTGTCATATATGAAAGCATTAAGATCTACAACCACTTGCCAAGGAATTTGATATCCATCCCATCCCTGAGACATTTTAGGAGGGAAGTTAAGAGGTTGCTGGTTGGTGCGGCTTATTATTAGGCCAGGGCAGTTAGCAAAAATAGGAGAAGTTTTTGCAATCAAGCTGATTTTTTCACAGATGATAGTACCCATCAATAGTACTCTGTAAAAAAAAGTTACACCTCCTAGGAGGCTTGCTTTTTCCGCCATGATGAATTAAAGATGGCGGCTGGTGCTATTCTTGAAAAAAATCGTAGCATTCTCATTTATTAACCGATTTCCGTCAAGTAAAAAAAAAAAACCTTTATTTTTGAATAAAGAATAAAATGAAAATATAAAATTATTTTGACAGGTTGTATTTCTGTCAAAAAAATAAAAAATAAGAATAGAAATTGAATTGGTTCTCTTCAATTTTTTCTGAACCGTAGGTACTTCTTAGTAAAAAAATTCAATAAATATGCGCTATTTTCTCTGATTTTGAAACAATTTTTGAATTTTGTGATAGGTTGAGTAATTCGCGATTTATAGGCGAAAAGAACTTGAGAATCCAAAAAAAAAAAAACTTATGCAGGCTGTGAAAACTCTATTTTTTGTATACGTTCCCAAAAATAGCTATTTTTTGGACTCATTTCAGTCCGTAAATTGCTTCATTTCCGGCCTAGTCCGTAAATCCTCATTTTCAGCCTACAGCGTAAAATGCTCCATTTTCGGCCTAGTTCCTAAAAGTCGTCATAGCAACCTGGTCAGTTTGCATGTACCTGTCGCACCTGCCAATGCATAATCAGTTTAAAATGTTTCATGTTGTTCCATTCACTTCACATCTTTGAGCTATTACAAAAAAGTATTATTTGTTTAACGTATCTAAAATATAGGTTTTTTAGGTACCTACTTGTACTTGTTACAAAAAATACATATTCTAGCTCGATTGACAAGAAAACAGTTGCCTTTGGTTTCAGTTGATTTTTTTTTTCTACTGCCTTGCGTAAAGTACTTACTTTACGCACTGCTCAAACGTTAAATTAGATTTCACACACTATTGCGTAAAGTAATTCACAACAACAAAAAAGTTTACTAAATTGTAGTTTCTTCGCAAAAATGCCTAGATACCCACAAGTATAAAATTTTATATTATAAAAGCCTTTACTGCCCTTTTTCTGCATTAGAAATGTGCTTTTACTTCACACCTTAGGTTGTGAACTAAGTTACTTTAGACACTAGGGCGTAAAGTTGTGGTATGTTTTTTTTCAAATTTATGGCATTCGAGCGTTATGATCTATATCGCCAGCTTACAATATTGACGGTAGTAGAAAAAAAAATGTATGCAGCAGGTGTGTAAAGCTTCTTTTTTCATACATTTGTGAAAAAAGGTTCACTTTAGACATCTGTTAGTGCAGAAAAATGGCAGCAAAGGCTTTTATGATATAAAATTTCATACTTGTGGGTATTTATTTAATTTTTGCGAAAAAACTAATACAATTTAGGGCAGGAATTATAAAACTATTTCAACAAAATAACTAAAAGTTAACTTCTCGAATGACGTTACTTCTCATGGTAATTCCAGATGTTAACTTTTAGTTATCTGTCAAAATAGTTTTATAATACCCACCCTTAATATACTTTTTTGCTGTTGTGAATTACTTTACGCAATAGTGCGTGAAATCTATTTTCACGTCTTTTGAACAGTGCGTAAAGTAAGTACTTTACGCGGTACGGTAGTAGAAAATAGTTATTTATGCAACAAGTGTGTAAAGTGAACCTTTTTTCACGAATGTGAATTTTGACGCACGAGCCAAAGGCGAGTGCGACAATCACATGAGTGAAAAAAGGTGCTTTACGCACGTATTGCATACAAAATTTTTTCTACTACCAATCAAATATGTGTAAAAAAATAGATTTAGACAAATACTTCACGCACTAGTGCGTGAAGTATTTTCACTTTACGCACTAGTGCGTGAAGTCATTTACCAGAAAAATAGTAATTTGACAGTGTTGACATCTGTCATTGACATTACTTTACGCACTAGTGTGTGAAGTGAATTACTTTACGCACTAGTGTGTGAAGTGAAATTTTACGTCTTCTGAATAGTGCGTAAAGTGAGTACTTTACGCACGGTAGTAGAAAAAAAATATTTGTTAGCTAAAATCAAAATCAACTGGTATTATGTCAATCGAGCTAAAAAATAAAGTTTTCACATCCTGCATAAGTTTGTTTGTTTTGGATTCTTAAGTTATTTTCGACTATATCTCCCCACTCCCAACTACTCAACTTATGACAAACTCAAAAACTGTTTCAAAATCAGAAAAAAAAGCGCATAAGTATTTTTAAACTTTTTTTGCTAAGAAGTGCCCACAGTAAAAGTTTACAGCTACGGTTCAGAGAAAATTGAAGAAAACCAATTCAATTTATTTTCCTATTTTTTTTTTGACAGAAATACTACCTGTCAAAATGGTTTTATATTTTTATCTCATTCTTTAGTCCAAAACAAAGGTTTTTTTTTTACTTGACGAAAATCGGTTGATAAATAAGAAAATGACGAGTTTTTTCAAGAATAGCACCAGCCGCCATCTTCAATTCATTATGGCGGAAAAAGCAAGCCTCCTAGGAGGTGTAACTTTTTTTTACAGAGTACTATTGATGGCTACTATCATCTGTGAAAAAATCAGCTTGATTGCAAAAACTTCTCCTAAAGGCCATTTTTTCAGCTAACTGCCCTGGCCTATATAGTTTGAACGAATTTTATTGTAATCGTTTTTAGCTTAGGATTTTCTCGTTTTTTATTTTTTGTTGTCAGAGTTTTATACTTAGAATTTTTTTGATAGCATACTAGGATATATATTTATGACGTTATTTTTTATTTTTAAGAGAATTTCATACACCTGACAGGTAACTGGTATTCCAACAATAAATTGACATGTTTTGATTGTTGATTTGAACCAATCAGATTGCAGTTACGCGATAATTTGCACTAGTGCAAATTATCAGATAATTGCATACTAACTGGTGTGAAAACTGGTGTTTTGACAAAAAATTTAAATTTTTGATTTATGAAATTCTCAATAGTAATATAACTAGTGCAATGGAAATTATTGATAATTTTTGGGAAATTTGCCCGAATGCATTTTTAGTTGAAAAAGATCACGAGTGCACGTAGTGCACTCGTGCCTTTTTCAGTTAAAAACGCATGAGTGCAAATTTGTCGAAAATTATAAATATATTTCCATTGCACGAGTTGTATTTAATGAGAGAATTTCATAAATCAAAAATTTAAATTTTTTGTCAAAAAATGTCAAAACACCAGTTTTCGCACCAGTTAGTATGCAATTATCTGATAATTTGCACTAGTGCAAATTATCGCGTAATTACAATCTGATTGGTTCAAATCAACAATCAAAACATGTCAATTTATTGTTGGAATACCAGTTTTGACAGATGTATGAAATTCTCTCATTAAATACAACTCGTGTAATGGAAATATATTTATAATTTTCGACAAATTTGCACTCATGCGTTTTTAACTGAAAAAGGCACTCGTGCACTACGTGCACTCGTGCTCTTTTTCAACTCAAGCATTCGGGCAAATTTCCCAAAAATTATCAATAAATTTCCATTGCATTAGTTATATTACTATTGATTATTTTTAGTGTTTTGTCAATGAGAACTTTATATACTTTGGACCATAAAGCTTTTTTGAATTTGAATTTTTTGAATATTACCAATAAATTTTCTTATCTTATCTTATCTTATCTTACATAGATAGAAATTATGTTAGTGTAGCATATAGAAATTTCATTAAGGATGTTAATTTTTTTGATTGACTATCAAGCTCCAGCTGTTGGTTGTCATGTTAGATTTTATTTTCAATTATCTCTGGAATACCCCTTTAATTTTAATATCAGATTCTGACTCGACAGATGACTTCCTTATTCTTCTAGTTCTTTAAGCAGTTTTATGAGGAATGTTCTTTGTGACATTCTTTTATTATTTTATTTTAGGTATTTAACTGTTCGCCCCAGCACTGCTGACTTTCATGTCTTGTACTTCTTTTTTGAATTTTACGATTTGCTCATTCATGGCTTTAATTATTTTAGTAGTTTTGGGACTTCCTTGGTATTCTGTTGTGGGTCCGAGATTTGCTTTTTTGTTTATTTCATTTGATCACCGAGTTTCGCGGTGATTTTTACGTTATCCATGCAGACTGGATGACAGAAAATCAAGGTCCTCTGGTTCATCGGCACACATCTTACGTTGGATAGATTAATTTTGGAGCAATTTCTGCATAAGAGGAGAGTTATATATCGCACAATAATGATAGGTAGTTCTTGTTGGTCGAGTAGTTTAAGCTAGTAATAAATGCTTACATTAGCCATGTCGACGAGCTTTTTTCAAAAGGACTTGCTTGGTACAGAATACAGAGTCCCTGAGAGAGTTTCAATCATGAACAAAAAAAAAAATTAACAGCACTTTTCACACTATCGAATTGTTTTTCTGAGATCCGAAGTTGTGGTTTATTTTTTAGAACCCTAAAATATTCTGCACATTGGCTCTTTTTTCTCCTTGTATTATTCCCATTATTTTTCCAAAAACTAAGGAAATTGGGAATTGTGGGATACCAGATTTAATTGATCTGAATCTTTATTGTTCGTGGTATCGCAACTCTACTGTATCTCTAAAAAAAAAATCCATAGCTAGGTATACAATTTAGGGTTTGCTAATAATGTTCAAATCGAAATAAAGACAAAGCCACTGAAAATCTATACTATCTATTCTATCTATATTAGTAATCAATTTTAAGAGATGATATGGATGCTGAAGAATACCAAGAAACCAAAGAAGAAACCATGGACCAATTAAAAGAATTGAACGAGAGCCTTTCCAAACTGGTCAGTGGAAATATTTCATTGATAAGCTCTATCGGAGCCGTTCAACTAGCTACACAAGCTGCCATATCTCAGGCATTCAAAACCCCTGAAGTTATTCGATTATTTGGTAGAAAGGAGCCAAAACAGCTAAGGGAAAGGTTAAACGCTGTTGATGAACAAGCTAAATTGAATAAATTAAGTACTGAAGGAAGGGATAGACAAAAAGTAAGATGCTGATGGTAAAATATTTTTGATTTTTAAATTAAAAATATATTTTCAGGTTGAAATTCTGATTGCTTTACGGCAACTCAATGAACAACTGACCAGCGAAGAATTGCAATTTTTGGAAAAGCACAACAGTGAGTTTGGAAGTTTGAAAAATATTGAGTTTTTAGAACTGAAAGATGACAATAATTGAATTACTATTTTAATAAAGACTGTTCTGTGTTGTGATTTAGCTTAAGCTTTCCATTTTCATTATTGCAATGTTTATAATTAAATATATAAATGTCCAGCTTTGTAGTATATTATTTACAATTTTTATTTTATTTTTTAGTTTTTTGTTCCAGCGGACAACATTTATAGTAGTGATGTGACGAATAATAGTTTGGCCGAATAACCGAATACCGGATATTCAGCTGAATTTGAACCGAATATTCGGCCCAATAGACCAGTGCAGTTACCTCCTAAAAAGGCAAAAAGCATGAAAACTGTTAGAAAGGGAAGAAAACATAGCGGAAACGACGGGAAAAATAACTTGAACTGAATCCTAGTTACGAGGGTGACATAGGGTTGCCACCTTTTGATTTCCGAAAACCCGGACATAATCGAAGCTAACTTTTTTTTGTAGCATAATTTACACTCATATCTGTAAAATCACAATATTTAATGCCGCGACTAGTGTTCCATAGCCGAAAGGGAAGCGGTGAAACCAGCCAAGGCATTAAATTTGATCTTTTGCCGTCTGAAACATATATCATTTTTTCTCCGAATTTTTTACAGTTTCACGCATAGTTTACTTTCTTATGTTTATCAATTGCGCTGATAACGTTTGTTGAATGGGAAGCAACGAACTTTTCTGCCTAGGCAGAAAAAGTCCACTTTTCCGTCGCTAACTGGAAACCGGAGACGTTCGTGACACACCCGTCATTCAAGAAGTAGGAACGAAAGGAACGTTCAGAAATTAGTTGGGTATATTTTAAGGCCGGAGTCTCATGCATCCGTTTTCCGACGAAAGATGTCCAAAAAACCTTCTATTTTGACATATTTTTATACGATTATGTCAGAATAGAAGATTTTTCGGACATCTTTCGTCGGAAAACGGATGCATATGAGACTCCGGTTTAAGGCGTTCGGCAATCGCCTTTATAAATTTTATATTAGGTCTGTTACTGCAGAAATTACAAACTAGTCAAAGCGAATTTTATTGGTTGAAAACTGTCAGAAACAGTCAGAAAACTAGTTTCAACCAATAAAATTCACTCTGACTGGTTTGTGATTTCTGCAGAAACAGACCTATTAAGTATTAGTTATTATTAATTATATAGTTATCCAGATATTCCCGGACATTTTCATCATGCGTCCGGACACCGGACAAACCTTTCAAAAACCGGACAGTCCGGGTGAAAACCGGACAGGTGGCAACCCTAGGGTGACATGAGGTGAACTTTAGGGGTCGAAAATGGGTTTTCAAGATTTCCAGCTAAACTACATCTCCTATCGGAAAAAGTTAAGTATAAAAGTTGAAGGTAATGAAAAGGTCTACAACTTTTGTATTAACCATTTTTTCACATGACCTAAAATTTTCAGAGAAAAACCAAAAAACCGGTTTTTTCGTTTTTAATTTCTCTCCCACAATTTTTTTTTGTTCACGAAATTTGGTGAGAACTTACCTTTTTATACCCCAAACATGCTTAAATTTTTTCAATTCAAAATATTTATTTCTACATTTTATTTTAAATTTAAACCTAAAACGAGGCCTTACTTTCACCCGAAAATGCCCAAGTCCTGGAAAAAGTTTTTAGAAAAACACAGTGGTCTTTTTTCTCGTTGAAACGTCTACTTTAAGATGGCGTAGAAAAAAAAAACATTACTATGGAAAAATTTAGCAGAAAATGCGAAAAAACTTGATTTTTTTAGTACTTGTGTTTATGACATATAGAATTTTTAATATGTACCTATTAAGGCCTAAAACACACGGAGCGGTTTTTGCCGAGTCGGCCGACGACTCGGTCGCCGAAGTGGCGTCTCGTTTATGATACTTCTATTGTATGAACCAGACGGTTTCGTGTCGGAGGCGGCTGCCGAGCGGTGGCCGAGCGTACCCTGCTGGCTCTGGCTATCATGTGCCGCGCGCGGTTATACGAATCTAGTCGGCACACGCTCGGCGCATCATTCCCTGTTCGCTTATGGAAGGTAACACACGTTGAACGGTTTTTCGACTTTCGTGAACATCAGTGTTGCCAGTTAGAATAAAATTATGGAAAATTTAAACGTTGAGCAACTAATTAATGAAATTCACATAAGGCCAGCGATGTGGGATATGTGCTTAAAAGAATATTCTAACAAAATCCAAAAAAATCATCGTCACTAGAAGACGCCATTGCGTACGGTGTGACTGTACGCAAACAACTGACAACAGCGAGATTATGCATTTTTGAATTAGTTGATCCGCTAGGCGCGGTTACGCTGTGTGTATTTAGAGCTGTTCCTCCGCCGGATCGGTGACGACTCGGCAGAAACTGCTCCGTATGTTTTAGGCCTTAGAAGTACCAGTCGTTCTAGTTTAGGTTAGGAATTTCCTATTTGTACATCTGTTGTACATGAAATTGACGTAGGTATTAGTGATCGACGTTCGTTTTTGTTGGTAATTTTTTGTTTCATCGTTTCATCTGATTCGTGATTGATAAATAAGGATGGGGTTATTCTAAATAGGTATTAAAAATACTATACAATCAATTGTTCATAAGTCTTTGCTTTTTTGATGGCAGTTTTTCATTATCAAACTTGATCAAATTTTCGGATTCTGATAGATCTTCGACTTCGAAATCTTCAATACCGCCATCGTCTTCGAATCCATAATATTTTGCCTAATACCAACTTAGTGTCATTCAAATTGGGAAAACTAGAATAATTGATTCCTGGAATATTGAAGAAAAAAAATTGTGGGAGATAGAGATCAAAAACAAAAAAACTGGTTTTTTGGTTCTCCTCTGAAAATTTGAGGTTATGTGGAAAAATGGTTTATACAAAAGTTGTAGACCTTTTTATCACCTACAACTTTTATATTTAGCTTTTTCCGGTAGATGTAGTTCCGCTGGAAATCTTGAGAAGCCATTTTCCACCCATAAAAGTTCACCCCATGTCACCCTCGTAACTCGGATTCAGCTTAATTTATTTTTTCCATTGTTCCCGCTATGTTTTCTTCACTTCTCAATAATTTTCATGCTGTTATTAATTTTTTTTTCCGAAAAAATCATTTGTACTGGTTTACAATGCTGGATAGCAAAAATAACGTCGAATGGGCCGAAACCGAATAATTATTCCGCTTCGGTCACATCTCTAGTTGAATTCCTTAACGCCAGAAATTTGCATTTTCATTTTCTTTTAATTAAGTGTTCGATTATTTCACTAACTAAAATATCCAAACATGAAATATTAAGGTGGTGCATGATGTAATCTTTAAGAAAATAACTAATCGACTTGTGACGTTTGAAAACCTACGTTAGAGAGTTATTGGACATGCAATAAGGACAAGGAGTATTCAAATTAGCCTTATTTTGACATCTACGCATGTGCATTTGGGTCTGAAAATAAGGATTCCCGTGAGAGGGGCGTTTAAATAAAATGTCATTTACAGACCTTCACAAATTTCAGTTCAATTTTAGACCACTTTTCAGTGAAATGAAGTTATGTGCATAACAATAATAGATTGGAGCAGGGATATGCCGTAGACTATGAAATCTACTTTACGCGATTTGTATACACGTTATTTACGTATTGTTAAGTTAACATCCACTTTCTTCCATGTAGACTATGTAAACTATGTAGACAATGTAGACTATAGTGTAGACAACAGAAAATTTGAAATTTGAGCTTTTTTTTTGATATTCTGCATTGCAATAAATCTATATTGTATTCAATTGATGTGTCTCGCAGAAATAGAAAAAGAGAGCCTAATTGTAATAAATACAAGTTAGAAAGTAATAAAAAATGACATGCGCGCGCAACCCGTGGCTGCAGTGTAGCCAGATTGTATTGTTGCAGAACAAATGTAGACAATAAAAATCGAACATTATAACATTAAAGAAATGATATATTGTCAAGTGTTTACAACACCTTAAATCAGACAAAATAAGAGCTTTAAAGTGTATATTAACATCGATGGGACTTTTATTTTGATAAATGTTTCATTCGGCAACATCGCTCAATGAAATTGCCAAGGACTATGTCAAGTATAATCTAACATAACCTTAAACGACACTGCAATAAGTTCAAGTAATACGTAAAGTATTAGTTTGTTCTTTGTCTAATTTCACGTTACAAAGAAAGAAGGAACGGTTAATTCTGAACTCCTCCCTGAATACGAATATGACGCAAACCCGTAAAAAACTCGATTTTCATTGGACGCTCACCTGCAACCCACGAGTTGCGTGTGCACACCAGGTATTACGAGACACGTCAATTAGCCCTATGAATTAGTTAATCTCCAGTTTAATTAACTTAATGCCGGTTTTCCACTAAACGGACTGTTGAGTTTGTGTTTTAAGGCCGCGTTAATGGCCGCCATGTTTGAACTGTGATTGGTTGATTTTTCGAAACTTGTTTTAAGGTCTTTAAAAAAACGGCACTTCAGAATTGGCTCAAATTTCTCATAAACATTATTTGATCGATTATCTACAATTCTTTATTTTGGTTTTTCGATATTCAGCCTTTTTTTTTTAATTCAAACCACCAAAACAATTAAATGTGTTGGTGGTTGCATATTTGCATGTTTATCAAGCTTGGGTCCATGAAAAGCATATTTTATTGATAACCACGAAAAACTGAAAAAAGTTAATTGTAGAGATTGTAAATAATATATCAAATAATGTTTATGCCAAAGGATTTTGGAAATTATTGCGGATTTTTTGAGTTGACCTTAAAACGAATATTGGAGGTGAAAACAGTTCAAGCAATTTCAAGTAGATGGCGCCACGACAAAAAAGCTACATTAGGCAATTCAAACCACGTGACATTCAAGATGGCGTGGCGGCCACACATGGGCCAAAAAGCACAAAAAAATATCTATTTTCTGCCCGATTTAATAGTTCAGGTACATAGTCAACAAATATTTTATTAAATAATCAAAATCAAAGTTGCAAGAAAATCTCCAAGCAAAATAATTTAAAATACGCATAAAAACATATTCAAAAGAAACTTGCTTGGCCGCCACGCCATATTGAATTTTCGTTTCTGACAGATGGATTGAATTGCCTAATTGGGAGCATCATAATTGTATATAATTTGTCTTTCTCTGTCACCAAGT